TTATATCCCCCCCCCCCCCCCCCCCACTTAGACCTACCATCCACTAGAGCAGTGGTTCTCAACCTGTATAACCCACATTTGTCCTTGGACATTATGGAACGCACGGCACGGAACGCACGGCATTGCGGTATTGTGCATTCTGGTGCGGGCGATTTATCTGTGGGAGGGAGGTGTGTTTGGGGTGCCATTCAAATTAATGGCAACGCAACGCACCTCCCGCACCAGAACATGTAGTAAGTGTAATTGCGTGGTTCAGTGCGTTGATCGCACAGGACTGTTCAATTAACGCACTGTACTAGTGTGAACGGGCCCTACAAAATACTGACAGACAGACAACCACAGACACAATCTCACACACACTCCAAAAAAAATATTTCTTTTTCTTTTTAAGATCTCCCCACCTTATGAGAAGTGGAGTGGATTCTCAGCCTGGGGTGCAGTGTGGGCTGCTGTGCTGTGACGGAGCTCCATCCATATGTGCATTGCTTGTACAGCTCCCTTGCGCGGCTTGTAGAGGTGCCGGGAGGCAGAATGTGACGTCACTCCGGTTCCGGAACCTCTACAGGACATGCGAGGGAGCTGTAAGCAATGCACGTATGTATGGAGCTCCTTCGCGGCCATAGCCCCATCCTATCACACCTCAAGCTGACACGCGGCGCCGGGCAGCATATTTTGAATGGCTGCTCAGCACGAGAACTGATAGCGCTGCGCTAGGGGGAGGCAGAGGAGCCTCTCACCTAGAGAAGTGGAATGGACGCGGCGACCCGCTGAACACGGGGTCAAGACTCACCAGTTGAGAACCAAGGCACTAGAGTGAAGGGTATACTCAGGACTTCTGGGTACGGAGAGGAGCATGTGACTCATTCCCCTTCCCAGCCAATAACCATTAGCATTTCAGGTCACTTTAGCTGTGGAAATTGCCCGCAGCTTTCATTTGTATATCTGAAATCATTTTTTGAGCTTTTCATACGAACCTGCACACGTTTCTGGCTCTTTGAACACGCCTGATTGTCCTAGTATGGACTAGCCAACTCCTGACATCTACATTGATATGACTGCCCCGGTATCATGTAGTATGTGCACTCTGATGTGCTTGGTCTTATTCCTGCGCTCAGTAGCTGGTCACCTGCGGTCTGCGTTTCATGCTGTAACAGCGCTGAGGACAGAGGTTATCAATTCTGACTTTCCACATACACAGCTGTATGTAACATGTTGCTGATGAGTGTTATAGATTGCATGGGAATATATTCTCCTGTCAGCGTGGTCAATATTCTCTTCTTTTTGTTCACAGCCGAGCCGTCCAGCGCAGCCTGGCCATCATACGGCAAGCGCAGCAGAAGAAGGCGAAGAAGGAGTACTGCATGTATTATAACCGATTTGGGAGATGCAAACGCGGTGACAGCTGTCCCTTCATACATGACCCCGAGAAAGTGGCTGTGTGCACCATGTGAGTGTCGGCAGTGTCTAGTAGGTGGCTGTGTGCACCATGTGAGTGTCGTCAGTGTCTAGTAGGTGGCTGCGTGCACCATGTGAGTGTCGTCAGTGTCCAGTAGGTGGCTGCGTGCACCATGTGAGTGTCGGCAGTGTCCAGTAGGTGGCTGCGGGAACCATGTGAGTGTTCTCTATGTGTCCAGTAGGTGGCTGCGGGAACCATGTGAGTGTCGTCAGTGTCTAGTAGGTGGCTGTGTGCACCATGTGAGTGTCATCAGTGTCCAGTAGGTGGCTGTGTGTACCATGCGAGTGTCCGCAGTGTCCAGTAGGTGGCTGTGTGCGCCATGTGAGTGTTCTCTATGTGTCTAGTAGGTGGCTGCGTGCACCATGCGAGTGTCCGCAGTGTCCAGTAGGTGGCTGTGTGCGCCATGTGAGTGTTCTCTATGTGTCTAGTAGGTGGCTGCGTGCACCATGCGAGTGTCCGCAGTGTCCAGTAGGTGGCTGTGTGCGCCATGTGAGTGTTCTCTATGTGTCTAGTAGGTGGCTGCGTGCACCATGCGAGTGTCCGCAGTGTCCAGTAGGTGGCTGTGTGCGCCATGTGAGTGTTCTCTATGTGTCTAGTAGGTGGCTGCGTGCACCATGCGAGTGTCCGCAGTGTCCAGTAGGTGGCTGTGTGCGCCATGTGAGTGTTCTCTATGTGTCTAGTAGGTGGCTGCGTGCACCATGCGAGTGTCCGCAGTGTCCAGTAGGTGGCTGTGTGCGCCATGTGAGTGTTCTCTATGTGTCTAGTAGGTGGCTGCGTGCACCATGCGAGTGTCCGCAGTGTCCAGTAGGTGGCTGTGTGCGCCATGTGAGTGTTCTCTATGTGTCTAGTAGGTGGCTGCGTGCACCATGCGAGTGTCCGCAGTGTCCAGTAGGTGGCTGTGTGCGCCATGTGAGTGTTCTCTATGTGTCTAGTAGGTGGCTGCGTGCACCATGCGAGTGTCCGCAGTGTCCAGTAGGTGGCTGTGTGCGCCATGTGAGTGTTCTCTATGTGTCTAGTAGGTGGCTGCGTGCACCATGCGAGTGTCCGCAGTGTCCAGTAGGTGGCTGTGTGCGCCATGTGAGTGTTCTCTATGTGTCTAGTAGGTGGCTGCGTGCACCATGCGAGTGTCCGCAGTGTCCAGTAGGTGGCTGTGTGCGCCATGTGAGTGTTCTCTATGTGTCTAGTAGGTGGCTGCGTGCACCATGCGAGTGTCCGCAGTGTCCAGTAGGTGGCTGTGTGCGCCATGTGAGTGTTCTCTATGTGTCTAGTAGGTGGCTGCGTGCACCATGCGAGTGTCCGCAGTGTCCAGTAGGTGGCTGTGTGCGCCATGTGAGTGTTCTCTATGTGTCTAGTAGGTGGCTGCGTGCACCATGCGAGTGTCCGCAGTGTCCAGTAGGTGGCTGTGTGCGCCATGTGAGTGTTCTCTATGTGTCTAGTAGGTGGCTGCGTGCACCATGCGAGTGTCCGCAGTGTCCAGTAGGTGGCTGTGTGCGCCATGTGAGTGTTCTCTATGTGTCTAGTAGGTGGCTGCGTGCACCATGCGAGTGTCCGCAGTGTCCAGTAGGTGGCTGTGTGCGCCATGTGAGTGTTCTCTATGTGTCTAGTAGGTGGCTGCGTGCACCATGCGAGTGTCCGCAGTGTCCAGTAGGTGGCTGTGTGCGCCATGTGAGTGTTCTCTATGTGTCTAGTAGGTGGCTGCGTGCACCATGCGAGTGTCCGCAGTGTCCAGTAGGTGGCTGTGTGCGCCATGTGAGTGTTCTCTATGTGTCTAGTAGGTGGCTGCGTGCACCATGCGAGTGTCCGCAGTGTCCAGTAGGTGGCTGTGTGCGCCATGTGAGTGTTCTCTATGTGTCTAGTAGGTGGCTGCGTGCACCATGCGAGTGTCCGCAGTGTCCAGTAGGTGGCTGTGTGCGCCATGTGAGTGTTCTCTATGTGTCTAGTAGGTGGCTGCGTGCACCATGCGAGTGTCCGCAGTGTCCAGTAGGTGGCTGTGTGCGCCATGTGAGTGTTCTCTATGTGTCTAGTAGGTGGCTGCGTGCACCATGCGAGTGTCCGCAGTGTCCAGTAGGTGGCTGTGTGCGCCATGTGAGTGTTCTCTATGTGTCTAGTAGGTGGCTGCGTGCACCATGCGAGTGTCCGCAGTGTCCAGTAGGTGGCTGTGTGCGCCATGTGAGTGTTCTCTATGTGTCTAGTAGGTGGCTGCGTGCACCATGCGAGTGTCCGCAGTGTCCAGTAGGTGGCTGTGTGCGCCATGTGAGTGTTCTCTATGTGTCTAGTAGGTGGCTGCGTGCACCATGCGAGTGTCCGCAGTGTCCAGTAGGTGGCTGTGTGCGCCATGTGAGTGTTCTCTATGTGTCTAGTAGGTGGCTGCGTGCACCATGCGAGTGTCCGCAGTGTCCAGTAGGTGGCTGTGTGCGCCATGTGAGTGTTCTCTATGTGTCTAGTAGGTGGCTGCGTGCACCATGCGAGTGTCCGCAGTGTCCAGTAGGTGGCTGTGTGCGCCATGTGAGTGTTCTCTATGTGTCTAGTAGGTGGCTGCGTGCACCATGCGAGTGTCCGCAGTGTCCAGTAGGTGGCTGTGTGCGCCATGTGAGTGTTCTCTATGTGTCTAGTAGGTGGCTGCGTGCACCATGCGAGTGTCCGCAGTGTCCAGTAGGTGGCTGTGTGCACCGTGTGAGTGTCCGCAGTGTCTAGTAGGTAGCTGTGTGTACCATGTGAGTGTCCGCAGTGTCCAGTAGGGATGTCTTACAGGTGAAACAATAAATATTATGAAGCATGATCGTTATATTTCAGTCTATAATGTCACTGTTTGATCCAGGTGGTGATCTTATAATTTTAGGTTTCTACGAGGCACCTGCAAACTCACCGACGGGACCTGCCAATTCTCTCATAAAATATCAAAAGACAAGGTGAGTAATTATAAGTTCACCTCTCCTATCAGCTCCTCCCACCTCAAAACCACCCCACAGTAATCCCTCCCTTCCAGCTGCTCCTCCCACCTCTACACCCCCTCACATGTTATACCAGCTGCTCCTCCCACCTCCACATCCCCTCACATGTTATACCAGCTGCTCCTCCCACCTCTATCCCCTCATGCATTATACCAGCTGCTCCTCCCATCTCCACACCCCCTCACATGTTACACCAGCTGCTCCTCCCACCTCCACACCCTCTCACATGTTATACCAATTACTCCTCCCACCTCCACACCCCCTCACATGTTATATCAGCTGCTCCTCCCATCTCCACACCCCCTCACATGTTACACCAGCTGCTCCTCCCACCTCCACACCCTCTCACATGTTATACCAATTACTCCTCCCACCTCCACACCCCCTCACATGTTATATCAGCTGCTCCTCCCATCTCCACACCCTCTCACATGTTATACCAGCTGCTCCTCCCACCTCTATCCCCTCATGCATTATACCAGCTGCTCCTCCCATCTCCACACCCCCTCATGCATTATATTTATTATTCGCCCGCCAAACTCACCGACGGGACCTGCCAATTCTCTCATAAAATATCAAAAGACAAGGTGAGTAATTATAAGTTCACCTCTCCTATCAGCTCCTCCCACCTCAAAACCACCCCACAGTAATCCCTCCCTTCCAGCTGCTCCTCCCACCTCTACACCCCCTCACATGTTATACCAGCTGCTCCTCCCACCTCCACACCCCCTCACATGTTATACCAGCTGTCCTCTTTGGCTAATGCTTGTTTGGCCAGAAGATTCTGCAAATGGCTGATGATTGCCCTTGGTTTCCCTCATGTCTGGGTTTTCTCCTGTTGGGATGCATCGTCTATGTTGTTTGAGTGTTCTCACCCTATGTTTGGACTGCTACTGGACCTCCCTCGGTTGCTTAACCCCTTCATGACTGAGGCCTTTTTTTCATTTTTTGTACACATGTTATATTCCACATTTTAGGCCGGAAAATTACTTAAAACCCCTGATGGCCCCTTCTTCGGGACCCAGAAGCGATCTGGCGACAGGTAAGTCGCCAGGATCGCTTCTGTTGTAAAGCCGACAGTCGGCTCTACAAGTTTAAACAGAGTCCCGGCGGCAAAAGTCACCGGAGTCTGTTTAAACAGCCCCGATGCTGGCGACGTACACTGTACATCGTCAGTCACGAAGGGGTTAATTATCACAAAGATGTGTTCCTTAATGGACAATAATAGGAATTTTGTACTCATGGTAAAATCCTTTTCTTCGAATCCATTGAGGGTCACAGCTCCTTCCCCTCATATACGTTGTTTCCTCTTTGAACTACTCGCCACAACTAAGCACTAAGATTGCTGCAGCCTCTCACCTGCAGCAACCTACTTAGTTGTAGCAAGTTACAATGTTGCCGTCTGATCACTGAGGAAATGCTGCCTCCTTCCTGCAGCAGACTGATCACTGGGGGAGGGGAGACTGAGGAAATGCTCCCTTTGCCTGCAGCACACTGATCACTAGGGGAGGAGAGATGGGGGAAATGTTCCCTCCTGCCTGCAGTAAACTGATCACTGGTGGAAGGGAGACAGAGGAGATGCTTCATTCTGCCTGCAGCAGACTGATCGCTAGGGGAGGGCAGATGGAGGAAATGTTCCCTCCTACCTGCAGTAGACTGATCACTGGGGGAAGGGAGACCGAAGAGATGCTTCACTCTGCCTGCAGCTGACTGATCACTGGGGGAAGGGAGACTGAGGAAATGCTTCCTCCTGCCTGCAGCAGACTGATGACCTCATCTCAGCCTGGGCAAAGTCAATGACCGGAGCTCGCGGATGACTTTGGTAATAATAAAAGGTGAAGCTTTCCTGAAAAACGATGCCGCTGTTGTTTATTTTGACATGTCAGGAATTTCTTCATGCAGACTTTAGGTTGAGAGATCCACTTTAATGCGGACCTTGCGACCATGCACCCCAAGGCAATCTAAAAACTCCTTCTCCTTGGGGGGGGGCGGGGGGTTGAACTCCTGCCTGCAAGAGTGGAGGGAAGACTCCATTCTTGCCCAGGTGAGAATGATGCGCCCCCTGCTTCAGCAGCCTCCTGGGATTTCCGATATCCCGGAAGGCATCGGCTTCCGCGCCGCAGGCAACGGAGAAGGGGACCTGGCGCTGCACCATCGGCGGCCGGCTACAAGAACGCGGAAGAGACGGTCGGCTCCCAGTGGCATAAGAAAAGAAAATGGCGGCTCAGGACCCAGTGTGCAGCAGGGGATCAGTGGGTAGTTGTAGGACAACGCAGGATTCGCTGAGTATGGTGATTGGGGTTATCCACAGTGACCAAGGGGAGGCTGGGGTGATTGTTAGCGGGTCACATGATTATCTACAAAGCTTTCTTGATCTTTTACAAGGCGGTAGAGAGCGCAGTGATACAAAAGGGAACGAGAGGCCTGATTTTTGCTGTGTTGCGTCTGCGGCCCGCTCGGAATTCGCCTAGGTACGGGGATTTACCGCGCGCTGTAAACGCGAATGAATGTCTTCCGATCGGAGAGGTTACGCCGCGACTCCTCTCCCCGGGCCGCCTCCACCTCTCCCGCTGCTGTTACAACAGCTTTTCCTCTTGAGGGACTTCCCACGATTCAGCATTTTTCCTCCCTAATAAAAATAAGCAAAACAGAGAAGTCTGCGGTGAGCAATTTGGAAAGCCTCGTCGACTTTCGGGTTCATTAGCCGG